CAATTTAGAATTGCAGCAAGTCCTGAAAAATGCAACTGCAACAAGCCCTGTCATGGGAAATTGGGCTAAATCCCTCAACATGGAATAAATCCTGCAATTGAGAATTACAAGAAGTCCTGGAAAATCAGAGAATCACAGAACCAACCTGGTTGGAAAAGACCTCCAAGGTCATCCAGCCCAACCCTGGATCCAGCCCTGCTGTGATTCCCAGCCCATGGCACTGATGCCACATCCAGTCTCACTTTCAATGCCTCCAGGGACGGGGACTCCAAACCTCCCTGGGCATTCCAATGGCTGAGCACTCTCCATGGAAAAAATTCCTTCCCAATATCCAACCCAAACCTCCCCTGGCACAGCTCAAGACCCAGCCCTCTTGTCCTACTGCTGCTTCCTGGGAGCAGAGCCCGACCCCCACCTGGCTCCCCCCTCCTGGCAGGGAGTTGCAGAGAGTCAGGAGGTCTCCCCTGAGCCTCCTCTTCTCCAGCCTCAACACCCCCAGCTCCCTCAACCTCTCCTCACAGCACTTGTGCTCCAGTCCCTTCCCCAGCCTCGCTGCTCTTCCCTGGCCCTGCTCCAGCCCCTCCATGTCCTTCCTGAGCTGAGGGCCCAGAGCTGGACACAGCACTCCAGGGGTGGCCTCCCCAGCGCTCAGTCCAGGCCAACAATCACTTCCCTGCTCCTGCTGCCACACTCTTCCTCAGCCAGGCCAGGATCCATTGGCCCTCTTGTCCCCCTGGCCACACTCTGGCTCCTGTTCAGCTCCCTGTCCATCCCCACTCCCAGCTCCCTTCCTGCCTGGCTGCTCTCCAGCCCCTCTGGCCCAGCCTGGAGCTGCCAGGGCTTGTTGTGGCCAAAGGGCAGGACCCGGCCCTTGGCCTGCTTGACCCTCATCCCTTGGAATCAGCCCCTGGATCCAGCCTGTCCAGGTCCCTCTGCAGAGCCCTCCTGCCTTCCAGCACATCAACACCCCCCAGCTTGGGGTCAGCTGCACATTTGTTAATGACACACTCGATCCCCTCACCCAGATCATCAATAAAGACGTTAAACAGGACTGGGCCCAGCACTGATCCCTGGGGACACCACTGGTGATGGATCCCAACTGGATGCAGCTCCATCCCCACCACTCTCCGGGCCCGGCCCTCAGCCAGTTCCTGACCCAGCCCAGAGTGCCCCTGTCTAAGCCTTTTCCAGGATTATCCCATGGGAGATGGTGTCCAAGGCTTTGCTGCAGTCCAGGCAGACACATCCACACCTTCCCCTCACCCACCAGACAGGTCACTTGGTCATAAAAGGAGTTCAGGTTGGTCAGGCAGGACCTGCCCCTCCTGAACCCATGCTGGTTGGGTCTGATCCCTTGTCCATCCTGTGGGTGCTGTGGGACTGCACTTGGGATGATCTGATCCCTTGTCCATCCTCTGGGTGCTCTGGGACTGCACTGAGGATGATCTGATCCATGACCTTGCCAGCACTGAGGTCAGGCTGACAGCCCTGGAGTATCCCCGGTCCTCCTTCCAGCCCTTTTTGTGGATGGGTGTGAGGAAGGTGTTAAACACCTCAGCCTTTTCCTCATCTTTGCTGACTCCGTTCCCTCCCTGCCCAACCAAGCATGGAGGTTTTCCTTGCCCTTCCTTTTTCTATTGATGGATTTGTGGAAGCACTTCTTGTTATCCCTGACAGAAGTGGCAAGATTGAGTTCAAATTGTGCCTTTGTCTCCCTAGTTTTCTTCCCACATAACCTGACTGTATTCCTAAACTCTTCCTGAGTATTCATGAAACGCAACTGCAAAGAGTCCTGCAGTGTATAATTGTGATAAATCCCTCAAAGTGCAGCAAATTCTGCAAATCAGAGTGGCACAAAGTCCTGGAAAATGCAGTAGATCCTAGAAAATGTAACTGTAACAAGTCCTGGGATATGAAACTGTGATAAATCCTTCAATATGGAACAAGTCCCAATATTTAGAATGGCAAAAAGTCCTGAAAAAAAGAACTACTCCCCAAAAATGTAAATTTATCAAGGCCTGAAATATGAAATTGGGATAAATCCTCCAATACAGAACAAATCCTGCAACAAGTCACACAGAATGCAACGAATCCCAGACCCTGCAGTCACACCAAATCCCTCAATGGGCACCAAATCCCACAAAACGGGATTACAGCCAATCCTGCAAAAGGCAATTGCACCAAATCCCACCAAAGGCGATTAGGGAAAGTCCTGCCAGAGGCAACGAGCCCTGGAAAAGGCAACGGGAACAAACCTCAGGATCTTGGTGGCAGCAAACCCTCAACAGGCACAAAATCCAGGGATATCCCATTGCAGGAAGTGCTGAAAATGCAACCAGTCCCCTAATGGGAAATGGCAACAAATCCCATAAAATTCATGGCAATAATCCCCCCAAAATGCCCCAAATCTTGCAATATTTGTGACAAGAAATTTTGCAAAATGCCACAAAAAATGCGATTATGACAATTTTTTCATTTTTATCTTATTTTTTCCTTTTTACTGTTAACTTTCAAATTTCTTCAGTTTTGTATTTTGAAATTTTAACATTTACCTTTTTTAATTTAATTTCTTGGGGTTTATTTACAACATTTCATGGGAAAAATTTTCGTTTCAGTTTTTGATTTTCGCTTTCCCTTCATGTCATTCCTTTACCCAAAGCGTTGGGCTGTGAAGCCCAGCTGTGAGAAATCCTGAGATATCCCATCCCAGCACAACCCTGGAGCTGTTTGGGGTGGATTTTTGCCACGGGCATCCCAAATATTCACATTTCCGCCGGCAACGAGCCCTGACCGGCCACATCCCTTAAGAACGAAGCAAAACTTCGATGGTTGGGCAGGTTGGAGCTCGTTTCACTCCGCAAGAGGCCGCGGGCGATGGGCCCAGGAGCGCGAATCCTGACCCGGGAGAAGGGAAACACGGATCCATCCCTCGGGAAGAGGGGAAAACCCACCCCGGGGCCAGCGGGAGAGGCCGGGATGCTCCCGGCAGCGAGTTTGGAGGCGTTCAGGAAAATAAACCCCCCCAAGCTGCTGCGGTCTGAGTCGGGTTTTAAAGGGAACTAAAAGCAAAACCTGCTCCTGGAAAAGCTCCCGAATTGTTTGGGCTGGAGCCAAGGAAACGGCGGCGGGAGGTGACGCCCGGCCGGCCCCGCCGCGATGGTTTCGCTCTCCACATCCCTCCAAAACACGGAAATATTTATCAGTTTTCAGGTGGATCCCGGCCAGGATGTGAAACTCGGCGTTAAAGCTCCCACAGGGGCTTTTTGCTGCCCAAGATTCCCCCGGGAGGGGTCTCTGTCCCGCTGCGGCGGCGACAGTTGGAGCATCCCCTTCCCCGGTATCCCCTGGCAACACCCCCCGAAAGCAGCAGCATCGCCCCCTCCCCGCTCTGGGCTATTTTTACTCGTTGATCAGCGGGATAAAAGAGGTTACGAAAGCAGACGGGACGTTCCCTGCGCTTACCATCGGATATCCAGGGAGAGCTCCGTGCCCAGCACGCACACGGTGCTGGTGGGGTGCTGGACGGACAGCTGGACACGGCGCTGCTGGGCCATCGCGGCGGCCCCAGGAGCACCCTCGGGTGCTGCGCAGGCTGGCACGAGGGGATTTATAAAGCCTGGCCGCTGGGAGGGGATCAGCCAAAGCCCGGCTTAATCCCACCTCCGGGCTGGGCGTGCGCGGGGTCCGGCCGCGCTTCCCGGCGGGGGAGCGGGAATCGGGGCGGGGGGAAGCGAACCCCGAGACGCCCCCGGGGGGAGCGGCGGCTTCTAAGAAGCCCAGGGGTGGGGTTCGCTTTCCCGTTAGCACAAAGAAACGCTGATGCGAGCGGGCACCCTTAAACCCACGCCGTGAAATATTCAGGGCGACACCGGAGCCGAGCTGGGGCTGTGCCAGCGCAGCGCTCGGGGGGGGCTGATTCCTCCCTCTGAAGGGTTTCATTTGTTTAACTGGAACAATTGCCTTTCATTCTTATTTTAGACGAGGGTTGAAGGTGCTCGTCCCGTCCTCGGGGTGCCGCGAGGGGTGGGGATGTCACCTGAGGGACGCCTGACCCCCGGCGGGTTTAATCGCCTTTGTTTTAATTAAATCCTCGTCTCGGCGTGGGAGAGCCCGCTGTCCCGCAGCTGTTCCACCGCCACCTCCCCACGGGGTCACGCGCCGCTAGAATTTAATATCCCTCCTCAGGGCTCGGCAAACTCAGCAGCGTTTCACAGGGAAAATAGGCTCAGAAAGTGTTTTTTTGGACAAAAAGAGGGATGTTCCATGGGATGTGTGACCCTTTTGGGAGCGTCCCCTCCCCAGATCCTCCCGCACCGTTCGCTGCGTGGCAGGAGTTTGAAGTGGAGGTGCTGTTACACCTCTAAAACACTCCTAGGAAAGCAAATTGGCCAAAACAAGTGGGTTTAGCCCCAGAATAGCTCCCGAGGTTGCTCAGGGCTGAGCCGTGCCCGAGGCACGGGCTGGTTTCAGTTCCTCGTGCCAGGCACAGGGAAACGCCACGCTCCGCTGGCGATGAAAGGAGGGAGACAAAGAGTGACCGGGTTGAAGGAGACGGAAATTTTCTCCTTGAAAAGGTGTCAAATGATCTGGATGAGGAGGGGGGGGCTCTGCCTCCACGCCGGGAGCCGGGGTGCCCAGCAGGAGGTGGTTTTTGGCCAACACAGGGAATTTGGGAGGTGATTATCAGCTCCAAACCTGCGATGTGGGACTGTAAGACCCTTTAGCAGTGGGGAGGTCTGAACACACCAGAGCAGCTTCCTTGTCCCGGGCTGTCTCCCATAAACCCCCACCCCACTCCTGACACAGACCCACATGCTTAAAAACAAAGTTCAAAGGACATTGCCAAGCCAAGAGCAGAGGAAGGAAGGATGGGAGACAGGGAAGAGCTGCACCCTTGGTGTTCAGGAAGGATGGGAGACGGGGAAGAGCTGCACCCTTGGTGTTCAGGAAGGATGGGAGACGGGGAAGAGCTGCTCATGAAGGACAGGAGATGGTAGAGCTGTGCCCTCGGTGCTCAAGAAGCTTTATTGGCAAAACCCTTCATTTTGATGCATCTTCCGATGCACCAAATGCAGCTTCAACCCCCGGTGGCAGGACCTGGGTGTGTCCCCGGGGGCCTCAAGGCACCACGTGCCACCACTTGAAGGGGAAGGGCTTCCTGCGGACGTTGGTGCCGCAGTGAACGTCCCCGGACAGGACGTGGTAGGAGAAATAGTCGTCGATGAAGGTGCAGGTGAGGCCCAGGGGCTCGAGCAGCTCCCGCACGCGCTGCTCCAGGCAGCACTGCCCGCCCACCACGGGCCCGAAGGGCTTGGGGATGCCCAGGTGCCTGCCCAGCACCAGCATGTTCACCTGGGGGGACAGACAGCGGGGTTGGCCACCCTAGGTGGGGCTGTGTCAGGGCTGGGTGGGGAAGGAGGGGTCGGAGGCCTTACCATGTCCGGGAAGAGGGCGTCGGCGCGGGAGCCCATGAGGATGAAGAGCTGGGGGATGTCGATGATGTCCTGCTCGCTCAGGCCCAGCTCCTGCTTCAGCAGGTCACGGTTCCAGTCGATGCAGCGCTGAGGGGAAAAGGGACCCGGAATTGCCACCCTGGGCCGTCCCAGCTCCTCAAATCCCACACGTGGGGATCCTGCATCCTGCCCGGATCCTCACCTGCTCCATTGCATCCCACCCCATCCCCCTGAGCAACTCCCACTGCATCCCGAACCCGAGCAACCTCTTGGTGCTTCAGTTGTCCTTCTGTGTCACCCGGGGCATCTGCCAGAGGGACAAAGGCCTTGGGGTGACCAGCACTGCCTGGCTGCTCTCCTTGCCCACTCCTGCCATTGCCCAGGATCTCTGCCCCCAGGAATGACCCAGCTGTGCCATGGGAGCGAGGAGAGCGGATCCCCCCAAGCCCAGGGCTCACAGACCCACCTGCACGTGCCTGTTGTCGCTCTTGAGCGACTCGTCCGCCAGGATCTCGTCAATGCTCCTCCTCTCGCTGCCCTTCAGCCCTGAGTGGGGGTGGGAGCAGTGAGGGACATGGGAAGGGACACAGGGAAGGGACGATGGGAAGGGACACCAGGGATGTCCTCACCCCCTTACCAATGAACTGGGTGGCTTCCCCGTGGCCCTGCCTCTGCTTCTCCTTGAAGAGCTTGTAGCAGGCGTTGGGACTGGCCAGGAGGAGCCGGAATCCCTGCGGGAGAGAGCCCGGGGCTCACGCTGCTCTATCCCCCCATCCTTTGGAGACACTCCCAAATCCAGCCCCAGGCATCACAGGATGCCACCCACGGACTTCTCCTCTTGCAGGAAGACCCCCCAAAGGCAGCTGCCCCCCCATGTCCCCGTGGAGGCCCAGCAGCTGCATCAGGGCTGGCTCTGGCTCCCACAGGAGCAGGGAGGCTCCGGGGCTCGGTACCTTCCTGTCGAAGGCCGGGACGAAGGTGAGGAATTCATCCACGTGGCCCACGCTCAGCCACTCCGAGTAAACCTCCACCGGCGCCTGCACCTTCTGGGCGTACAGGAAATCCCGGACAGCCTTGGACATCCTCCGGCCCGCGGCCCTGCGGGCACAGGGAGCAGGGGAAGGTGGGCGGCCATCACCCCCCTCCCCAAAATTCACCTCCATCCTGCCCTGGACAGCAGGGGAGGGGGAGAAGAAACATCCAATTTTTGTGGGAAACATCCAATTTTTATGGGAGGTTGGAAATAGTCCAAGCTGTATTATATACATCAAGATATAATTTATGTTCATTTTATATATATGTATATGAATATATGTTTATATATGCATTTATATATAAAAATTTGTATCCAATTAATATAAATTATATATTAATCTACATTAATACAGATATATCTACCTAATACCTCAATTATTTATCATTAGAACTATGTTATATATTATTGTATGTTACTCATTGTTGTTATATATTAGATATGTTATGTATGTTATATATTAATCTCTGTTATATATAAAAACGCATTACTATATCCCTACATTATATATAAAATATATTACTATATCATTATATTATATATAAATATATTAATATATCCCTATGTTATATATATAAAAATATTAATACATCCTTATATTATATTATATATTATATAGTATGTAGTATATAGTATATAGTATATAGTATATAGTATATAGTATATAGTATATAGTATATATCAGTATAAATAATACAATATATAAATATGTTAATACATCCTTATATAATGCATAAGTATATTAATATATCCCTCAATTACATATACAAATATATATCTAGGCCATATGTATTTATAGGCAGTGGGTGCATTCCATGCCCTGTTCTTGGGCTCCTTTGGGTTTCCTTTTTCCCATCCCTGTGATTCCCAAACCCCTCCTCCAGCAGCGCTTTGTGCGGGGGCGAAGTTTTCTTAGACAGACGGGAACAGGCTGGGAAAACATTAATTAACCCCCTGCTAATGAGGGATAATTACGGGCCTAGAGAGGCTGGGAAATGCCATTTCCCTGCTGCCGGCCCCGCGGGAGCAGTGGGAGCATCCCGTTGGTTATTCCGGCCCAGCCCCAGCCGGGATGGCTCCTGTCCTGTTTGTCCCGGGCAATCCCCTCCTCTGCGGAGGGAGGGTTCGCTGCTGTTCCCGCGGCACCAGGCACCGCCTGCCCGAGCAAAGCCACTGCCAGTTCTTCGGGATTTGACCCTTTCCTAGACTTCCCTGCTCCTCTTTTTAATAAGTCAAGAAAAAAATTCCAAGCCTGGATGTGTCCAGGATGGGAGCAAACACCACAGGCCTGGGAAGGGGGCAGGGTTTTGTGAGGGATGAAGGGACAGCGACTGTGGTTCCCATGTCAAATCTGGGATTTGGTGGCAATTGGCTCCTGATTCTCATTTTGACTCCAAGTTTCCTCCGTGAGGGGTGTCCCTTTTCCCAGGCAAGGATTTTCCGTGCTTGCCCACATTCCAGAGGGAGGGCTGGAGCCCCCCAGCTCCTCACCAAGGCAGGGGGCTGCCGATCAGGATCCTTCCCAAGGGATACTCCTTCCCTCGCACCGTCACCGGGGGACTGACGTCCAGGTTGCCGAAGGAGTCCAGGCTGGTGATGTTTTTCCCGGGGGGTTCACGGGTCACGTAGCCAAAATCAGGGCCCTGGGGAAGAGGAGGAGGGAAGTGGTGCCAAGGACCCTCCATAGGGGGAATTTTGGGGGGAGAAAAGGGGTTTCAGCTGCAACGACGCACCAGGATCTTCTTAAAGGCAAAATCCTTCAATCCTCTGTTCCTGGGAGAGTCAAAGACCACGGGGAAGGTCTTGTGTGGTGCTTCCACGTAGCCAAACTCCAGCTCATCCTGCAGTGGGAAGAAGAGGAGGAGGAGGAGGAAGAGGAGGAAGGCTCCGGGCAGGGTGATAGGCATCTCCCCAGGGATGTGGGGAGGGTGGAGCAGGAAATGGGGTGAGCCTGGCACAGCTCAGCTCTCGCCCTGAACCACAACTGCCTGTCCCAGGGGTGACACCCCACCCAGCACGGGACACCCCCGGGAACAACACGGGCCCACGATGGGCAGGAAGAGGGGCAGGGATGAGGGGCAGGGATGAGGGACAGGGAGGGCACTGCCCACTGGCCACCCCCTGTCCTCCGGGGGGGTCACAGGGGGGCCTTCCTGCAGGGGAGACCCTCTTGTACAGCCCCAAGGGATCCCTTTTGCAGTGGGGTCCCTCTCACAGTGGAGACCCTCTTCCAAAGCTCCAGGGGGTCCCTTGGGCAGTGGGAACCCTCTTGCAATATTTCATGGGGTCTCTTTTGCAATGTGGTTCCTCATGGAATGTCCCATGGGGTCCCTCTGGCATCAGGGTCCCTCTTGCAATGTCCTGTAGGGCCTCTCTTGCAGTGGAGACCCTCTTGCAATGCCCCACGGGGTCCCTTTTGTGATGGGGTCCCTCTTGCAATGCCCTTCAAGGTCCCTTTTGCAACAGGGACCCTCTTGCAATGCTCCCATGGGATCCCTCTCAGTGGGATCCCTCTGGCAGAGCCCCACGGGGTGTCTCTCGCAGTGGGAACCCCCTCTGAAAGTCCCACAGGGTCTCTTTTGCAATGGGGTCCCCCTTGCAGTATCCCTTGGGATCCTTCCTGCAATGAGTTCCCTCTTCAAAATCCCGTGGGATCCCTCTTGCAGTGGGGACCCTCTTGCAACGTTCCATGAGGTTCGCTCCTGCAACGGGATCCCTCATGGAATCTCCCATGGAGTCCTTCTTCCCAAAGTCCCAAGGGGTCCCTTTTGCAGTGGGGTCACATTTGCAATGCCCCATTGGGTCCCCTCTTGCAGTGGGGTCCCTCTTGCAGTAGACACCCTATTCCAAAGCCCCACGGGGTCCCTCTGGCAATGAGGCCCCTCTTCTAATGCCCCATTGTGTCCCTCTTCCAGTTCCAGGATTCCTGGACCCCGTCCCTGCCTGTGCTGGTTTCCACCACCAGCAGCATTTCCCTGGGCTTCATTTCCCAGCTGCCTGGTCTATCCCTGGCATCCGAGTGCTTCCCAAGCAACCAGTCCCTCCAGGGGGTGCCAGCAATGGGAGTGACACCTTATGTGCTCCAAGAGCCTGTAAGGGACCAGAAGAACCACAGAGAGCAAGCCTGGATTGATGGACAAGCCTGGACTGATGGACAACCACGGATTGATGGACAAGCACGGATTGATGGACAAGCACGGATTGATGGACAAGCACAGATTGATGACCTGGATCCAGCGGTCGCTCCGGGTGTCCTGCTCCGAGCAGATGGTCAGCTTGCAGTTGGCTTTCTTCAGCAGGACCTTGATCCCTTCCAGAAAGGCCTCATTGGAATCTGAGCCCTGCTTGATGCTGGAGGGAGAGGGGGGACTGAGGAGTAGGACCATGAGAAGTTCCCACAACCCCAACCATGCAGCCCATTCCTCCCTCCTAAACACACTGGGCAACACTCCTGCATGGGACAGACCTGGAGAGCAGCCTCCAGCCTTTCTCCTTGGCATTGCAATAACAGTGACATTGGGCTCCATTCCCAAATATCGCTCCCAGTACTGGATGCACAAAGCCTGGCTCACCCCATTGTTGCTGCACCACAAAGAAGGGCCTAAAACTCCTCCTTGAAGAGTCCCCCAAGGCAGGAGAGCAGTGGAGTGACACCCCTCCTACCTGCAGACAAAAACCTCCAAAGGCTGCTGGGTGTTGGGGGTCATTATCCAGGGAGCCACACGGAAAACCACCGTATCCGTGAAAATCGGGGTGCCCGGGGAATTCTGTGAGGAGCAGAACCAGCAAGGAGCAGTGCTTGGAAACCCAGCCACTGAGGGAGCTCAGGGGACGGGGCAAACCTCACGTACCTTGTGGGGGACCTCCAGCAAGCTGGCACTGAAGGAAACCAGGCCCGAGAAGCCCCTGTCAGGGAAGGCCAACCCTTCCACGTAGAAGGTGTTCTCCCCACTGCCGACGGGGTCCAGCACGTAGGAGAGCTTGTCCGGCCCCAGCACGGGCTTGTAGTGGGGGTGTGAGTCACTCCCTGCAGAACCACCAAGACACCCCCAGGACACGGTGACCAACCCGCCCTGGGCTGGCAGGAGGCCCCAGTGGGGCCGATGCCCGCGCGGTTGGAGGGGAGCGGGAGTGCCTCCTCTTCCTGCCTGGGGAACACACTTGATCTTCCTGGGACAAAGAGGACTCCATACCCTGAGGTCCAACCCTTTCAAGGTGCGTGGCTCAAGTGAAGTATCTAATGATACCCTTGGCTGCCCTGACCTGATTTTCAGTGGGGACCTGCCGGGGACGGAGCTGCTGGGGCGTTCAAAGGCAGAACGGGATGGGCTGCTCTGGGGTTTGGGTCACTGCCCATGCCAAAGGGGTGCTGGGCTTTCTGGTCCACAGGAATGCCAAAATTTCATCAGTCTCGTGGGGAAAAGCCTTTTTTGATCTTTTTTCCCCCTTGATTTTTTCCAGGTAGCCCCACTTTCTACCGCAGCAGAGGATCTTTGGGGATAAATCAGTGTTTCCGGCAAATGGAGGTGCCCAAATGAATGGAAAATTTAGGGTTTGCTCACCTTGGGGTTGTGTTCAGATATCTGGGAAAGAAGAAGGAAGGAATACTCACGGATAGCGTGGAAAACCCGCACTTTATCCGCGTCCGTCTCGGAGACGTGCAGGACCACCTGGTACTCGGCAAAGGTGGCGCTGGGCCCCTGGGTCCTCAGCAGCATGATGGACATGTCCTTCAGGTCTGGGGGGGAAAGGTGGAGAGAGGGGGCGTGGAGAGAGGGGATGGAGGTGCTGCCAGTGGGAAAGGCCCCAGTGAGCGCCCTTGGGTGCCCTCGGGCCGTGGGTGACACCGACCTGCGGGGGTCCGTATGTCCGCCTGGCCGCTGTCCGGCCCCCCCGTGCCGGGGCTGTCCCGGTCACAGTTGACCAGCAGCACAGCACCGTGTCCATCCGGACCCCATGTCCACTTGGCCTGGAGGAGAAGCACCAAAAGAGGATTGGAGCAAAATTCCCCCCACCCCATCCCATCCTCCTCACTAACCGGGGAAACGCCCACTGTCCTCCACGCTTGGAGGACAACCCAAACGCCAGTGATGCTTTCAAGGCACTAAGTTTCTGAACCTCAGCTTCTAGTAGGGCCAGCAAAGACTATTTGGAAGAGATCTTATCTTCTGGTCAGACAGAAAGTATCTGCCAGGCCTCCTCTGGACAAGGCTGCACCGTTTCCAGAGACACGTCCCCTCTTGATACACGATTTGCACCATTGATTGGGCTGCACTTAATTAGCCCAACTTAAGGGCTTGGGCATATGCAGATTTGTTGCCAAAGGGGTAAATCGCTGGCTGTTTGCTAAACTCATTTTGTGGCCTCTTTCAAGTCCAAAAAGGAAAAGAAAGAAGAAAGGAAAGGGAAGAAAAAGCAGAGGGTTTTGTCCTACGGGATCCTCAGGGCTGGACTGGAGACATAGAACATTTTGGCATGGAATAAGAAAATAAAGTCTCTTCCTCCTCAATTAGTAGGTTGAGGATTTCCCAGGTTATTTGCCCTAATTCAGACACCACCCAAGTCCCTCTCCTTCCTGGAGATTTTCAGGGAAGAGACTACAAATGGATAGGCCGGGACTGCCCCTCCAGCAAAGCTCCTCGTTACCTTGTCCTTCCCTTTGCTCTTCACTCTGCCACTCCGGCTCCAGTCCACGTCCAGGGACACATCTGAGGCATCAAGAGAAGGAACCACGGGCAGGAGAACGAGCTCTTGGTGCCATTTTGGGCTCATCCAGCACCAACCCCACCTTCACACCCCAAAGCTGCTCCAGACCCAACATCTCCAACAAAACACTGGTAGAAAATCCAACCCAATGGTTTTTTCATGGCTTTCCCCCTTTGATTTCCAGCTGCCTTCTCCCATGTTCCCAGCTGGGACATTCCCATTTTATGGTGTATTTTATGTTTTCACCTATTTCACATTTACAATTGTGTTTTTTACAAAGCCAAAACATGGTGGAGGGACAAAAAAGTGTTTTCCCTGTGGTTGAGTGAACACCTAAATAATTCCAAGGCTTGATGCAACACTTCAGAAGGACTTCCCTCCTGTTCTTGGCCCAAATTTCTGCCTCTGCTGCTACAAAGCAGAGGTTTACCAGCAATCTCACCCAAACCCTAATAAAAAACCTCCTCTGAGTGGGATATGCCACATATAGAAAATACCGGGATTAAGCGGAGAGGAGGACATGGAGAAGCTGGGAAGGAAAGTCTAAGTCTAACCATGAGAAGAACATTTGCAAGGCCAAAGCCCTGTGGCCGTGGTAGCCCCAGATGGCTCCAGTGGAGCCCATCAGCTGAGGGACGTGGGAAACCTTCAACCTCCTCAGGCCCAATTTTGGGAGGCACATTCATGACTTCAGGACAGAGGTGTCATGTGAGTGCTTTAGAAAATCCCAAATTTGGGGTAATTAATCCATCCAGGTGGAAGGCTTCTGCATCCAGACTGGTTGTCTAGACTCCCTTTGTAGTCAGCAGGGAAAAACAGGCATCTGGAGGGAATGATTCATCTCATCCTAAACTTCTAAAATAGGTCAGACAACACTTTGGTGCCCGTCCCTCTCCCCCAGCTGCGACGGAGGTCGAGGGGGAGGAGGACACCGGGTAAAGGTGGGTGAGGAGATCTCCTTTGGATCCTCTTGTCCCAGTGCCCGGTGTTGGCAAGCAGAGGAGGATGCTCGAGGTGTGCTGGGTGGGGACCCGGCCCAGCCCCTCTCTTTTGCACCATATAAGGCAGCGTAATAATGTTTTAATTGTTTCCCTCTTGCTCGTCAGCACCGGTGAACACCCAAACCTCCTCCCCGCGCCCCCCACTTAACTCCCATCCCACGAACCCAACCAGCTCTTGACATCAGCCAGGCCTGGCCCGGGTTTGTGGAACACCTACCGACACACGTGAGGTACAGCCAGGCCACCGCCAGCTCGTTGCCCTCCCGGCCATAGTAGGAGATCTTAACCTGCAAAAACACCCCCACATCATGGCCCACGTCCCAAAAAGCTGAGTGGGGCTTCTCGCTCATTGCATTGACCAACAAGCAGTTCTTGGAGGGTTCACCCAAGCCTTTCTCCATTAATCAGAGTTCCCTGAACTGTTTCTGTCTGGTTCAGCACAAAAACGGGCACGGAAACAACCAAGCTTGGAGGATTTTTGTTGCCTGGCACCAGTTTTTGCAACTGCCACTGTGTCATCAGGAGGGCACAAAATGGAGTCTCCTTCTCCTTCCCAGTTTCATTCTTGGTACATGCTACTTACACAATTCTCTTTGGGTTTTTTTCCATGAAAACAAGCCCAATGTCAGCACTACCTAGTACTGACTCGACTGCTTAGAGGTTGCCCATAACCCTCCCTGTTTTCCTGGGAAATTGGACTCATTTTTCTGGTTTCAGTACTTAAGAATCCAACTGACCTTATTGTCATTGACGGTCCTGCTGGTGACATCAATCGTCACCACGACCTCTATGTCGGGATCCAGGGGCCACCTGGAGTTAATCATGGGCTTTGTGGTGGGGCTGTGGATGATGTGGACCGTGACCGCCGAGGTGGCGTGGACGTCGAATGACGTGGCAGCTTTGGGGGTAGATCTGAAACAGAGCGTTGGGTTAGAGACCAAGTCGTCTCTCCAGTTTTCCTCTGCTTGAACCTGGAATTAAAATCCAGCCTTAACTAGGTGGAAAGGGCTCATAAACCATCTTTGGGTGATGAAATGGTTGAGTTTTCTGCGTCCTATCTCTGTGGTGGTGTTGAGCAAGCAGAGCTCCCACTGGAGCTCCGGCACGTCCCTCCGTGGTTAAGCCTGGACTGCGAATCACTGAAGTTTGGGCATCCAACCTCCCTCCACAACACCAAGAAAATGTCCAAAATTTCAGCATCCTGTGACAAAACCCTGACCAAGAGCCAGGATAATTTTTAATGTCAACCATCTGGGGAGATGGTTATCACAGGACCATCCCTTGAGCTGAGAGATGCTCCAACTTGGAGCGGAGCCCAAATCCGAGCATGGAGAACCCACACCCCACCTGCATGACATCCTTTGGCAGCCTTTGAAGTGCTGCCTACCTGCTCATTACAGCCCCAGCACCTCCATCCCGGGAGCACGAGTGCTCCGACCTGTCTGCCATCGGGAGCCTCCGACAAGGAGCAAGGTGGGAAATTTCAACAGCGAAAACAAAAGGGAGAACATCAAAAAACTGACACAGAGGAGATTTATTGCCAGTGTTGCTCTTGGCACGGCATCCCTGCTGCCTGCAGCAGCTTGTAAGGGGAGATTAAAGCATCACCTCCCTTGTCATCCCCCATCTCTAACGTCGTGTAACGTCACAAATCCACCTGCACAGTGTTGGATGTCGTGACTCCTCCAGTCTGGGTCTATTTGCTCTGGTTTTACAGCCCTGGTTGTAAATCCATCTGAACATTGTTGGATATCATGACTTCTCCAATTTGGGTCAGTTGGCCCTGATTTTACTGCCCTGCTTGTAAATCCACCTGCGCATTGTTGGATGTTGTGACTTCTCCAGTTTGGGTCTATTTGCCCTGTTTTTTCAACCCTCCCACCTCATCATCACCAGATTCCCACCAAACTCCATTTTCTGCCCCAAAACAGCCCAAACCACAGTCAAAACCTGATGCATCAATCACCAAGTTCCCCCCAGCTGGTGCTGTCCTGGAATAAAATGATCCCATTTTTTTAGTGGAAAAAGTATCCACCATCTGCTTTTTTGATCCAAAGCTCAAATTTGCTCCAGAGGAGCCAAATCAGCCCATTTTGGGACTCAGGTCTCATGTTTAAATAGATCTGAGTGTGCTTTGAGTCCTAAACCAGGAAAAAACTTGCAAATAGGTTTTATATATTCCCATCTGGATGAGGGAGAAAATAAGACTCTTTTAGGGCAGGCAAAGCTCAGTGCAAAGCCCTTGGAGGGGGACGATGGCACATCCTGGCCCGGCTCCAACACACAACCCCAATAATTGCTGCGATGCCGACTGACTCGTCCTGTCTGTGTCATTATAAAACTGATTTATTAAATAATGACCCTGTAACAGCAGGGTAAACACAGCCTCGTATCTGACCAATAAACCAACCCCTGTATTTAATTCCGGAAGAATCTCCTCTCCTGGAATTGCCCGTGCAAAACCCGCCGGTGGATTTTTTCTGCCTGAGCCACGCATTTTATCCTTCAACCCGTTTTAGCTCCAAGTTGCTGAGCTTGAATTGCTCTTGCCCAATGTCTTCCCAGCCAGAAATAGATGCGGGTTTAGCCAGGGTGTGCTCGGGCTTTGCCTCCAAACCGTCACGGCTCGGTAACACTTCGACGCCTCGCCAGAGCCAACATCCTTCCCTGGGGGACGTCCCCCTGGAACACGCCCGGTGGGACACGGCCCTCCGAGTGCTGGGTGAGCTCCTGCTGTGGGCTCTGAACGAGCTCTGAGCTTTCCTCACTACTCCAAAACACCGTTGGGCTCCTCCAAACCCCACCAGCCCTATGGAAAACGGCGGGAATCCCCCGGCCCGACCTTACCGGCGCGTGTCGAGGAAGACCTCGGTGCCCAGCACGCAGACGCCGTAGGTGGCGTGGCTGGTGGACATCTGCATGACGTGACGCTGGGGCATGGTGTGCCGGGCACGGCGGCTGCATGGGAGGGAAGCTGCTGCCTGGCTTTGCAGGGAAACCAGCAGGACTGGATTAAAAGGCAGGGGAATTTAACTCCTCCTTCCCTCGATGACGGGGCTCGGCCAGGGGACCCTGCCGTCTCCACCTCCAGCACCTCCAGCACCCAACGAGCTGCCGCCCCGCTTGGGGAGATGGAGGCGATAGGGCGGCCCCGGGGAGGGGACACGGGGCAGAGGTGACACCCAGCCCTGCCCTGGGATGCTCAGCACTGAGCTTTTAGGGATTCCTTCTCCCCCTTTTCATTCCTTTACGGCTCCATCTAAACCCTTCGAGGCTCTAATGCATTAAACATGTGTTACTCCTCTGGCAGCACGACGGGCTTGTTTGGGGTTATTACAATATTATCATTGAAATGAAGCTTTTTCTTTAAAACAACCCAAATTTTCCGTGCGGCCTCTGCACAGGTGACTCACGGCCTCAGCTGCAGCATCGGGGCAAAGCCTGAACAAAGCTGGACTAAAGGAAATGTTTGCTCAGGTCGCTCCTTCCCATCAGAAGGAGTCCCAAGGACGGGAGACGGGAAGAAACGGGCACAGGGAAAACTGCTTGTTTGGCAGGGAAGGGGAAAACAACAAACAGCAAACCAACAGGAGGCTTCCCGTGGAAATTAAAAGTTGTCAGTGTTTCGCTTGGACCTTGTGTTTCAGGGGATTGGGATTTTTTGGGCAAAGATCCCACAGGAATCATCCCCTCCGCTGGAAGGTGGCATTGCTGGAGATAGCCATCTCTTTCCAGGCCATCCCAGGAGGATTTGCCTGCCTGCAAAGAGGAAGCCAGGCAAGATTAATCTCATTGAGGTGGGAAGGAGGTCTGGAGGATGGAGCTGAGATGGAGGAAAAGGCAACACAGGGACCGAGAGTGTCCCATTGCCACGTGGCTCATCCTCATGTGGGGATGTGTTCAGCTTAGGGATGCAATGGGCAGGAGAGGGCTGGAATCAGGAGAAACCCAGTTTTGGAAGTGGCAGCACCCCCTGGGAGCTGGGAAGGTCCAAGTGAGCTCAGCAGAGTTGGGGGCCCCGTCCCCGGCAGGGCAGTGAGCGGCGCGTGCTCAGCCGGAGGAGCCGCCGTTCCCTTGGGAGATCAAACCGGCTGCTTTACACATCTCCCAGCCAGGACACATTAAAGGGCTCCCTCCGACTTTAATTGCAGCAACAAAACCCCAGCTCTGTGTCTCAGATGCGAGAACGGCTTTAATAAGCCTGTGGGAGCCTGGAGGAGCGGCAGGATGCTCCAGTGGGGAACACCGGCGGAGTTTCCGGGCTCTCCCAGAGCTCTCCTTGCCAAAGATTTCAGATAAAACCCCATTTTCCAAACACCAGCCCAATCCAAATTCCTGGTGTTCCTAGATTTGGGAATTGTGTTGGTTCTCAAGGACCTTGTGGATCCCCAAAACTTGGAGCTGGGCAGAAGTAGAGCTGGAAAAGCAAGTGAGGAGCTCCCAGAGCATCCTCTGAGGAGGAGTTTGGCCACGGCAGCATCTCTCCTGAAGGGAGCTGCAGGTTGGGCTCCCCACTCGTGGCTGCTGGTCACACTGGTTTGGACTGGGCACGGTGCTGAGCTTGCTGCCTGCTGGGATTGGAGCCCCGTATCCTGCTCGGCTGGTTCCCGGTGCCGGACAGGGAACACACCTTAATCCCCACAGGGTCAGGCTGGCGTGGTCTGTAATCTGCAGGGAGGGGGAGGACGGTGGTTTTGGGCTCCCAGTGAGCACCAGGGCCTTCAGCAGAGAGTGTTTCTCCAAATCCCCCTGGGATCACCCCCGTGCAGGAGGGATGGACACGCAGAGCCCAGAGCCCAGAGCTCCCATCCCCGTCGGGTCTGGGTGGATTTTTCCAGCATGGTCAGTCCCGGGCGTTTGGAGCCGCCACGATCCCTGCGGAGGCTCAGGCAGGCCCCAAACACCTCGTCTGGGTTGGGTGGGACCTCCACTCCCCTCCTCTTCCTCCTCCACCTGCTATTAGCCCGACATGCCCGTGCACAGGCAGAATGAGCATTTTAAGTCATCGGGCCCATTCAGAGCTGAGTGTTTCTTCCTAATAACACCTTGTCCTGAGAAAGTTGCCATTAAGATCCCTGGGACATGACAGACGGGATCCTGCCTGTCCATCAAACTGTAGGAGCTCGGCCCGCCTGCTTTTGGGCCTGACTTTGGTTTTTGCCCCACATCAGCCTGGTTTTAGCCACGACTGAGCCAGACCTGACCCCCCTCAGTGCTGCCCCAGGAATCCCATTAATAGCTCAGATCCCTCTGGGGCGTTTCTTCTCACCCATCCTGCACCACCACTCCGTCAAGGAAAGTTTGATAATCTCCCTAAGCCGATAATTACCCCTTATTTATTACTCTGCATGTCTAATTGCAGGCAGGAACTTTTAAGAGCCATGTCAGCCTAATTACTTGCAATAGGGCAAGACATCAAACCAGTTATCAAGTCCCGCTGGGGTTTGCAGGAGGGTTTATTTTCTTTAGGCACATAGCTGTAACAGCAGGGCTGGAGCACCCCAGACAGCCACCAAGCATTCCCCATCCCAGCTGGAAGCCAGGGAATAATGGGGAGATGCTGATTTGGACCGGTAAAAAGAGCTTTCTGGTGCCAATCCTGGAAAATCTCCCAGCTTTGCAACCAGAAAGCCCCAAAAATCCCCCTCTGTCCTTTCCCCTCCACAAAACGCAGCCATCTGCCTGCAGGGAGGCTCCATACCATAATCCAGGAGCAAAGCATCCCATAAAACTGCTTTTCCCCAGGGCTGGAGCTGTGCATGTCCCCCCGTGCTCACCCTGCCCACGCTCTGCCCCAGCTTTGCATTCAGTTGGCTGCCCTATAAATATCCCTATAAACACCCCCCTCTCCAGGGCGTGTTGCAAAGACCTCCAGAGGCAGCAGCAATGCCAGGGGTGGGCTCAGCTTTGCCTTCATCCTCCCCAGTGCGTTGGTTTGGCCTCCTCAGAGCTGCCTCTTCCCAAATTCCGGGCAGGAATGGGCAGGAACAGGCAGCGCCTCGTGGCTCTCTTGGGATGGGCACCTGTTTGCACCTCCTAAACATGAAAGGTCAGTTTGGAAGGACTCCATGGGGGAACATTTCCCTCCTACTCATTGGAATAAGGCTCATGCCTACACGAGGGAGCCACAGAATGACCCCAAAATTCCTGATCCAGCCCCCCCGGGTGTGATCCCCCCAGGGACCCACCTCCGGGTGCTCCTCAGGGAAAACCCTCCAGAATCAGCTCTGTGGGGCTGTTTGCAAGCCCCAGAGCTGGGATCTGTTCCCAGGTGCTGGAAAGGAGGGCAGGCAGAGCTCCCCCAGCAGCAGAGAAGTTCATGCAGAGCAGCTCCTAATCTGGTTGATCTGATCTTAAGACGGACCCAGAGAACTCCTCTGACCAGCCTGACCACAGCCAGGGAACCACGAGCCTCCAGACACCTCCCTGCAGATATCCATGGATATCTCTGTGTCCTGGGAGGCTGCTGATCTCCCACCTGATAGCCCAGAGCGGAGCTGCAGTGCTAAAGGCACTTTTGCCTCCTGAAAACCCCCGTTCTGGCAGCACAAACTGAGGCTGATTTAACAAACCATGGATGGAGTCACCCAGGATTTCATTGAGACAGATCAGGCAGGTCCTCATGCCTGTTCCCAACACCAGCAGCTCCGTGAACACCTCCAGAGGCTTGCAAAGATCCCAAGAAGCTTTGAAAGACCCCCAAAAGCCTTGCAAAGATCCTAAAGGAGCTTTGAAAGGTCCTGGACAGGTGGCAAAGAAAAAGGGTTGCAAAGTCCTGGGGAAGCTTTAGGAGACCTCGGCAGAGCTGTAAAGGCTCTGAGAACACTTTAGAGCCACAAAGGCTCCCAAAGACCCCAAAAAAGCTTTAAGAGACCCCAAAGCCATGCAAAGACCTTAGAAAGCCTACAAAGACCTTGCATGGCTGGCAAAGAATCCCAAAGGGTCATAAGTCACTGGGAAGCTTTAGGAGACCCCAGAAGGGTTGCAAAGACTCTGAGAAGATTTTAAAGACCCCCCAAAGGCTTTCCAAGATCCCAAGAAGCTTTGAAAGACCCCACATGGCTTCTGAAGAGCAAACCTGGCTGCCAAAAACCCCCAAAGACAGGGACCAGTGCAGTGGAGGAGAAATGGGCTCTTCCAGCCCCTTTCCCACTCAATCCAGCAGCTCCTCCTTTGGTTTTGCCCTCAAACAGGGCATTTTCCTCTATTTTGTTTTGTTGCCTCCTCCCAGGGAAGCACAAACGAGCCCAAAAATCCCTCAGAGTGACCCAAAAACTCCCAGAACCCCCAGGGTTTCAATCCCATCTTTGTTAGCAGGTAACACTTGCTCCCATGGGATCACAATTTTCCTTCTGCCTGGCAAATTCCAGGGGCTGGCAAATTCCAGCATTGTCACACCAAGAGGGCTACAAATACATTAACATATCAATTACTAAAACAAACCAGCTCAAAATCCCGCTGATTTTAAAATTCCCAAGTGATGCCGAAACCCCTTTATGAGATGGGAGGGATTTGGGGTTGTGTTGGGTTGGGTTTTTTTAAGCAAAGGAGGACTTAAATCACATTTGTTCTCTTCCCTGACAACTGAAATACCAGATTCGGGGGGGACAGGAATTGGGAAGTGAAAATTATGAAAGAGAAGTTGGTTTTTCTTCCAAACTGATGATTTTACACCTCTATTTTCCCAGCCCACAGATCACAGGGAGGTGAGGCCATCCCTGACCACGCAATTCCAGCTGTTTTGGGGTAAAAAGAGGGAAAACAAGTTTCCTGCAGTGCTGGACAGCAGAGCCTGCTGGTGCAAACACGAGGTGGTTTTGGTTTCTTTCTATTTTTTCTCTTTTTAAATTATTTCTCTTTCTGGTTCCTCTTTCAGGAGTGTTTGTTTCTCCTGGTGGTTTAAACAGACGAGGGTCACACAGACAAACCAGATGCTTTTTGGGAGATGGAACATATTCCAGGGCAAATCCTGGACTGGGATGTCTAAGCTAGGGGTCATTTCACCCAAATTCCCAATGTTTTTGCATAGCCTGGGAGCAAAGTGTGTTCTATTTTCTCATATTGCTCAGGGAGAACATTTATACTGTTTGAGAAAGTCCCCCTGTTGCCCCAAATCTCGTTTTTGCATATGCAGAAAAGTGGCAAAACTGCGTCTTTTTTGTGTGCTCAGCAAAGTCCTCGCTCACATTTGCTCAGGTTGTGGCAAAAAAAAAAAAACAAACCAAACCCAAGCCAGGATTTCTTTCAGCTGGAAAACTGAATTCGAGCTGATTCCCTGCACTGCGGCCAGCGAGGACTGGAAAAGAGAAGCCCAAGAGGGATATAAATAGGGAACATCACCCTGAATGTTTCTGCTTGTCACTAATTGCTTGTGGCTTCCAAAATCTGGGGCAGAAGTTTGGGTTCTGAAATGAATATTTAGTTGGATGGTAATAAATAATTCAAATGCTGCGTGGGCAGCAATTGCTCCTGCCGTGCTCCGTGGGGTGGCAAAACCACCCTGATTTCCCTTCAGCAGCAACTGGCTCCCAGTTTCCCTTTGAAAATGAGCAGGGGGAAAAAAGGGAGAGTTCTACTCTCGCCTGAGGGCTGGAAAACCGTGTTTCTGCCTCCCAAGAGCAGCCAGAGATTTTCCCTAGAGAGCAAAAAAAGGGCGGATACGCCAAAATCCAAACTGCTGGAAAATCGCCCCCACGTCGGTGATTCCCATTTGGGGTCACGGAGAGGGTGGAGGGATTTGGGGACAGCTGGGGGAGCTCCTTGCATAGGGTTGGGAGCTGAGCAGGCTCCAGGCCAGCTGCCCTCCCTCTCCATCCCTTCCCTCCCCTCGGAGATCATCTTCCCGAGGCTTTAGAGGGTCCAATCCAGCCTCCCCCTGCCTTTGGGCTGCAGAGTGTCATCCTCAGCCCAGCAGAGCCGGGCTGTGCTCCGAGGAGGAGGAGGAGCAGGGGCTGGGTGCCGGGGGTCGGTGCTGCCGGGGCAGTGCCAGGAGATGCCAGGGGGCCAGGAGATGCCGGGGGGCCAGGAGATGCCGGGGGGCCAGGAGATGCCGGGGGGCCGCACGCTGCGGCTGCAGCCCGGGGACCGCATCGAGGCCCTGTGCGTGCTGGGCTCCCGCATCCACGCCGATGTCCACGGGTGAGTGGGACACCCCAGCCTTCCCTCTGCCTTCCTTCTCACCTTCACCCCTCCTGCAAATCCCCCTCCTCGTTTTCCCGCCTGCTTTCCCAAACCCCGTGGCCCTGACGTCTTTTTGTGGGCAAAATCCACCCTGGGCTTTGCAAGGCTGCGCAAATCCCGGGAAAGCTTCGAGCATCCCCATTTCCACAATGCAGTGTTTACCCCGAGTCCATGCTGGGTTTGATCCGGTGTCATCTTGGAATGCTGCTGGAGAGTGGAGGGATGAGCAGGAGCCACAGGGATGGACTGCAAAGGAAGAGATGCAGCTGGGAGAGGGAAGGAAAACAAGATTTAGCGAAAAAACGTGTCTTGGGAAAGTGGGAAATCCCCACACCACCTTCCCTAAAACAACCCCAATGTTGAATTTCAGGATAATTATTCCCCCCCAAGGGGGAAAAGAAAAAAGTTTAAAAGCTCATTTGGGGGTTAATTCTGGTCTTTGCTGCTTTTGCAAATCTCACCCTTGATATTCAAGCCAAGCAGCAGAGTTACAACTCCCCTGGCACCTCTCCAGGTCAAATTCCTGGTGGGATTCCCAAAACCAAGAAACAAGGAAACTGAACCAGTTTTTCCATGTATAATTAAAAGTAATTTAACAATTTCAGAGACACCCAGGCAGGAGCAAAGGAGTGCTCAGGTTTCCTCCCTCCCCCCTCCCCGACGGGGCAGGTTTGGTGGGACCGTCGGCATCCAGAAACCATCTGAGCAATGAAGCCGTAACGGGGATCCGGCACCAGCTCTCGGGTGTCGGGGCAAACAGCCCAAAAATAATAACCTAGAAAGACTGGGAAATTCGGGAAAAGGAGCCAGGAGAAGGGGAAGGGGTTGCATGGTGTGGCTGGGGAGGAGCAAGGGCACCCTGGACTGGGAGTGGTGCAGCACCAACAGCTTTAGGGTTGGATAAAATCACCCCCAAATTAGCTGGATAAAATCAGCCCCAAATTAGAGTTTCCCATGGAAAAGTCTCTCAGTGTTATGATGAGTTGTTAAACACCGGGTTTGCCCAGGCTGGAAAGTAAACAGGGATTTCTCCATTGAAGTGCAAGCCCAAATTCAATTCCAGCAGTACCTATTAGACTGGGATTATTAGAGATCCTAATCTGCACCAATGGCTACAAATACCAATGTGCTAAACCAGCATCTTTTGCTGGGAAGCAGAAATTCGGGAAAAGGAGCCAGAAGAGGGGAAAGGGTTGCTCGGAGTGGCTGGGGAAGAGAAAGGGCATATGGGACCGGGAGTGGGGCAGCACCGTCAGCTTTGGGGTTGGATAAAATCACCCCCGAATTAGTTGGATAAAATCAGCCCCCCTAGAGTTTCCCATGGAAAAGTGTCTCAGTGGAGTGGCCACGGTGCCGTGATGAGCTGTCAAACACCGGCTGGAAAATAAACAGGGATTTCTCCACTGAAGGGCATTAAACCCAAATTCAATTCCAGCGGCTTGGTTGGGATTATTATAGATCCTAATCTGCACTGGTTCAAATACTCCTTGTGCTAAAACAGTATCTTCTGCCCTAAAAGCAAAGGACAGCTCAAACTCCCAGGGAGGCAGGAAAGGGCAGCAGGAGCCGGTGGTGAGCGTGGTGACGCCGGCGTGCCCAGTCTTGGCCGTGGAATTAATTGCGGTGAGAACTGAGTGTTTTGGGTGCAAACTTCTCCAAACGCGGAGTGTTTCTGGCAGGGCGGCCCCAGCCGGGGCGGTTTCCTTCGGGGTGAAGCACACGGAGGGGGTCAGTGTGGATGTGGTGTCCCGGGGCCGTGACGAGGCCGAGCCGGTGCCCGGCAGTGGGACGCGGTGGCCGCTGCAGGAGGGGACGGTCCTGAGGTTCAGCATGAGCCAGCCCAGCACCGAGGTCAACGACAACAAGGTGAGGGACGGGACGCTGCGGTGTGGGACCTCCACGGATGGAGAACATCCTTTCCCAATCGGGGATCTGGGGGTTTGCAGGTCACTGTCAGCTTTTATGGAGGGGAAGGGAAGCCCATCACCCAAGCTGGAGTCTTCCTCACTGGCATCGGTGAGTACGGAGGCTCCTGGGTGCAACAATCCATCCTCATCCCATTGATCCCTTGGGCGGGTAGGGGGACGGGTAGACCCACATTTGCCAGGTCTGGGGGGCTTTTTCTCCCACCCAACCTTGCCATGCCCTGGGATGATGGGTGGGTGAAACCCATCCTGTCCATCCAGGGATCTCCCTGGACGTCGACGCGGACCAGGATGGCGTGGTGGAGAGGAACAGCCCCAACAAGGTAACCCCTCTCCCTCCACATGGAAAATCCACGGGCTTGCCTGAGGCTGAGTTTGCTGAGCCTCAGCGGGTTGTTGTAGGCCAGCTGGAGCTGGGGTCCTGAGGGACACGGGGCCATCCTGCTGGTCGGCTGTGACAAGGAGATTCCCTCCGCTCCGGCGTCCGACTGCGACAACGAGCAGGTGTTCAACAAAGAAGGTAACAGAGCTTCCCAAAAATCCTCCATGATTCCCCCTCTTGAACGTTTTTTGGGATGGAATTTTGCTCAGGAACCAGCTGCTCTCCGTCAGCTGTTGGACATGCTTCCCATGTGGGAATTTTTTTGCATTTCATAACACAAAGCATTTGTGGCCAACCAGAGCCGTGAAGCTGAGCCTGAAAAATCACCAGGGCTGCCTCACGCAGGTGAAAGGAGCTCGGGATGAGGCAGCCAGGAATACACCCACCTGTTCCTGGAAAACTAAAACCACACGGAGCCGGTGCCCATCAGGTTTCTGAGGTCAAGGACGGGCCATGCCAGGGGTGAGGAGGGCAAATAAAAGCTAAAAAGGGCACTTGTTTCCCAGCACAAGGCACGAGCTTCGCCAGCAGGAGCAGGGCTTGTTTTTCCAGGTTGCAAAGGGTGGTGGCGAGGGAAGAGCAGCTTTCTTGGGAAGGAGGTGCAAACTCCAGGAGGGAGCATATAAGACATCTCCTAATTTTGTTGTTTGCCCCCCAGATTTGGAGGACATGGCCCAGATGGTGCTGAGGATGGAGGGGCCCCAGCGCCTGCCCCGGGGATACGAAATCATTCTCTCTGTTTCTGTCCGTGACGCTGACAGGGTTGGGGTGTTCCATGTGCAGAGTAAGTCCTTCCTCCCCTCCTCCTCTGCCTCCTCCTCTTCTGCCCCTTCTGCCCCCTCTGCCTTATCTGCCCCTTCCTCTTCTTCCTCTTCCTCCTCTGCCCCTTTCTTCTCTGCCCTCCCTCCCTGTCAGCCTGGTGGCATTTTCATCCCATGGATGAGCAGAAACTCCATGAAAATGCCTTCCCAGTGGCTGCTCCATCCAAGGAAAGGTCAAGATATTTTTCCTCATACTCATTGTCCATGACAAAACTGCGAAATCCTTCCATCCTGTTTTGAGGTGGTTCTAACAAAGTTGTATCTCCACAGAGGTGGAAAAACTCCAGCACAGAGGGACTGTGAGTCCTCCTTGCACAAGGAAATAGGCTTGGAACACCAATGAAAGCTTGGAATTGTCCCATTTTCCCCATTTCCTTGCAGATCCCTTCTTTGGGCAGCGCTATGTGCAGGTGCTGGGCTGCAGGAAGCTGTTCCACGCCGTGTCCTACCCCGGCGGGGCCGCCGAGCTCGATTTCTTCGTCCAGGGGCTCTGCTTTCCCAACGATTCCTTCTCCGGGCTGGTCTCCATCCATGTCAGCCTCCTGGAGATGCTGGCAGAGGTCTGGGAGCTCCAGGGAAGGGGTGCAGATGGGCTCCCTTGTTGCAGCTATCCCAGAGAAGGGGATGGGGAGGGAATGGAGAGTGATCCCCATTAATTAACCCCAAAAACGACCTCAGTGGAAGGGCATTTGGGGGGAATAGTGTGTGGACAGACCCTGATTCCCGCCTGCTCCCTCAGGGTATCCCCCACACTCCAGCCTTCACAGACACAGTGGTGTTCCGGGTGGCCCCGTGGATCATGACCCCCAACACCTTGGCGCCGGTGAATGTCTTCCTCTGCAGGTGAGGTCGGGGAGGGCATTCCCAGCCAAACCAGTCCCGGAGACAGGCTGGGCAGAGGCAATATCCACCCTTCATCTCCTTCCCTCCTGCCATCCCCTTTCCCAGCATGAAGGACAACTACCTGTTCACCAAGGAGATCCAGACCCTGGTGACCAAGGCTGGCTGCAAGCTGAAGGTTTGCTTCGGATACACCAACCGTGGGGATCGCTGGATGCAGGTAGGGGGGCTCCAGAGGCAGGGAAAAGCTTTTCCTTCCTGTGCCCCATGCGGGATTTCTTCCCTTCTTCAGGATGAGATTGAGTTTGGCTACACCCACGCTCCCCAAAAGTGCTTCCCAGTGGTGCTGGATTCCCCTCGGGATAGAGGGATGGAGCAACTCCCCGTCAAGGAGCTGCTGGTAAGAGAAGGATTTGCTTGCATTGCCTGAGGAGCAGCTTGCAGGTTTTATTCCTCATGTAATTCCCCACTCTTAAAACCCTCCTGGCACTTGGCTTCTTGGGGGCCATACAAGGAATTGCCTGGAAAATGAGTTTAACAGCTTTGCATGGAGATACTATCTCATCCACTTCCAGTTGGGAGCACACCAACACCCTCACTCCCCCTCAAAGCAGGGATCAGAAGGTGTTGGGTGAGAGAGGAAAGGAGGAGCTCACGCCTCTGGGAAGGGAAGATTCCTGCCAAGCTCTGGGACTGGAATTCTTCACCCTCAGCACCCCAGTGGTGGGCTGGTTTTTCCTTTCCTCCCCTATGCCCGTGAATATCCAGCAGCTTCCGAGCAGGAGAGGAAAGGGAAGCATGAGAGGGGTCAACTTACTTCCTTGGAAGAGAACAAGCTGCCAACAGCATCCCCGTGGGGCTTCTTTGCCAAGGCAAAGGGCCAGCCATGGGCAGGGCGTGCCGGGATGGCGGTGACCCCGCAGAGGGCGATTTGGCAGAGCCCAGCAAAGACGAGCATGGAAAAAAAGATGATCCCTTTGAGATCCCACCATGCAGAAAGGGCAGGACACCCCCAAATAGCCACGGAATCGCTGTCCCACACTCCCAGCGGGCGCTGGCAGCAGCCTCAGCCTGGATCCTCTCTCCGCCAGTAACGGGAGAAGAGGACGAGTCACTTTTTTTGTCACTTTGGGGAAGGTTAAGAGCTTTCAGGAGCATTGAAATCCATCTTTTCTCATGCCTGACATGAGTACATAGAGTCTCGGAGTCATGCGGCGGGTGGCAATAGCGAATAAGCGGGCGCCCGCTCGGATCTGCCCTCTTTAGGAATTGCTTTGCTCCCTACTTAGGGAAGCAATTTCAGCCTTGGGAGCCGCTAACACATTATTCTCCAATTTCTGCTTTGAAGCCTCCCCTAATCCCCGCCGCTATCGTTCCAATCTCATTTTCCAGCTCAGAATATTGAGCCAAACTCGGCACGCACGGGGTCCTCCTCACCCCCGGCCAAGCCCTAAGCCCTGGGACCCCGCGCCAGGGAAACGGAGCTGGCAGGGAATTAGCCCCTCAAAATCAACAGGGAACTGATAGGACTTGGATGCGACCTGCAAACCTGGGATGAACCAGTGCCTTGACAGTTGAAACCGGAGGGGCTCCGTGGTTTATTAAACTGAAACAAGCTGAGAGCAGGTGTTTCATGCTCAGTCCCCCCCTCAGCACCCGGAGAGAGGAGCTGATCCCAGCAATCCCCCAGAGACTCCCCAAAACCCCACGGGGAGCCTCGGGGAAAGCTGTGCTCTGTCTATCCCGGCTTCTCCAAACACCCTTAATTGAAAAAAGGAATTTCTAGATGGAAGTCAAGCACTCTCGGGTCTCCCTGCTCATTTTTCCCGACCTGTATATTTGGTTTATCCCCATGGAAACCCAACCCTGATAAGTGATTGGGATTTAACTCCAACCTAACAGATATCTGATCTGGTCCCAGGGGCTGCCGGGAGCTCCAAGCCCGTGTTGACTCAAACTGGAGATCAAGGACAGGTCCACGGCAAGAATTGTGTCCCATCGTTGCCATTTTTGCCCTGTTTTTAACTCCACAATCTCCCCTTTGGGCTTTGACACATCACAGCCAAGAGCTAATTACCCTGCATGCACAACACCCTCAGTCTCAGATATATTAAGACCTGGAAATCAGGGCTTAAGCAGGATTTAAGTGCCATACAGCCCTTTGGGTGGCTCTTAGACTCACCCTCAGGGGCTGCAGTTCATCCCACTCAGGAAGAGCCATCCAGAAGCTCCGCTCCAGGGCTGCCCCAGCACTAATTAACCTAATGTGGACACTTAACTGTTGGCTGTGGGGTAGCAGAGGAGATGTGGGATCTCAATGCCTCAGCTCTGCTCCTGGATTTTGCCGTTTATTCCTGAGCCTCTGTGACCCAGAGACCTTTCTCCTCTCGCCTTTCCTTTCCCCTCTCCTCACCCATGGACGGGCCTCCCTCTTGCTGTGTTTACCCTCCAGAGCAGGTCTGAGCCCGGCTGGAGGATCAAATGCCGGAGGCAGGAGGGACTCAGGGCAGTGATCCCTCTTTTTCCAGGGCTCCGATTTCGGGTACGTGCACAAGGAGCCCCTGTTTGAAGCCATCACCAGCCTCGACTCCTTCGGCAACCTGGAGGTCAGTCCGCCCGTGTCCGTGGGGGGGAAGGAGTATCCCCTGGGCAGGATCCTCATCGGCAGCAGCTTCCCCACGTAAGGCATGGGGAACACACAGATTTGGGAGCAAAGGAACCACAAGAGCCCCGAAATATCATCAAAGTCATGTTAATTGGGTTAATTAGACCTTGCCTGAGTGGCTGTGAAAGGGGTGGGCGCGCTCAGTCTCCTCCACCTTGGCGGCTATTTACATCCAAGTACGTGTTGATGGATAAATCCTCATCCTCGCACTCCCTCTCTTGGGGATTTCACTCCCAGATCCACAGGGAGGAGGATGACCAGGATGGTGAGGGACTTCCTCCATGCCCAGCGAGTCCAGGCTCCCGTGGAGCTCTACTCTGACTGGTTGGCCGTGGGCAACGTCAATGAGTTCCTCACGTTCGTGCCCACCTCGGACAAAAAGGTACCCCAAAATCCCACATCCCTTTGGTGCTCCTCTTCCAAGATACTAATCCCACTAGGTCACCTCTAGGAAAAACCCCAAAACTCATTTCTTTGGCACTCCCAACCAGTTTGGGTTTCACTCCTGTCCCCAAAATGAGGGATCTGAGCACGAAAAGGGACTTGCTGAGTGAATAATTAACAGAAACAGAAGGAAAACGATGCTTGCACAGGTAGTCCAAAAACTTTAAACCTCAAGATTCCAATGCAAATCCATGACCCTGGAGATTCCCAGCGGCTCATCTTCTCACAGATGTTTCCGGAATATTTCTCTTTCCTCTGTCACAGTTTTTGCTGCATCTGATACAGATTTTTCCCTCAGGGAAACCCTGACACAAGACTTTTCCCTCAGGAAAACCAAGCCTTGACCTGGATGACTCAAAAAAGGAATCTTTATGGCCACACATTCCCCACAAACCCTCCAAGCATTAAAAAAGGCACTAAATAGCAGCAAAGACACCTAATTCAAAGAGTTTTAGCACAGGTTCTTTGCAAAACTAAGTCCCTGGGGTCTCCCGAGGCTCTGGAAAATCCCCTTTGGGTGACTCCTCTCCTTCCCGCCTTCCCGCAGCGATTCCGGATGCTGATGGCCAGTCCTGCCGCGTGCTACAAGCTTTTCCGGGAGAAGCAGAAGGAAGGCCAGGGAGAAGCCACCATGTTCAAAGGCAAGGGGACACGGGTGGCTCTGGGCAGGGTTTGGTGTCAGTGGAGCCGCAGCAGCCGGGCCGAGGGCAGCTGGAGGGACAGGGGGACTCGGGGCCACGTGGGGACATCATCCCACCCGGTTGTCCTTCACAGCTGGCAACGGGATGCCCGCCCACCACCCCCAGCCTCCTCACAGCCTATTTTGGGAAGCGAGTGGGATGGCAGGGATAAAGCCCTCCGCCGGAGGGGATGCTTGGTTGGTGGGATGGAGCATCTCCAAATGCCAGCGGAGCTCCGGCACGGAGTGGGACAACTGGCAGCTCTCACATTACCCAAATTAGCACCGTTTTGTCACTTTGGAAATCCTTTCTTTGGGATTTTGATCCGTGATGGGTTTGGAAGCACGTCTCCATATCTCCATGGGTCCCTCAAGGTCACTGAGAAGACCCAGGCGGCCCCAAAGCAGGGGGTGGATCCAAATCCTGGTGGTGGATGCTCTGGAGAAATTCAGCAGATAATGATTCCTGTGGGCAGGAAGATGGATGACAAGACCTTTCCAGTGCTCTTTCCAATGGGCAGAGCTTTTCTTCCCTCACTTTCCCAATACACTAAGAATTGTGACTCCAAGCTCAGGAAATTGGGATATGGGGGACTTTATCCATCTGTGTACCCCATCCTAAGCCAGGCTTCATTTTGATGGGACGTTGCATTTTTAGGGTACTCGGGGACAGACACAAAACGAGTCACCATTAACAAGGTCCTTTCCAATGACATCCTGGCGCAGCAGAACCAGTATGCCCAGGTAAGAACTGACATTGTTGGTAATAATTTATATTTCTTGCAAAACCTGCCCCAGGGTGGTGCAAAGGGAGGTGGTGTGTTTTGGCTCTTCTCCTGCGTGAGATGGTTTTGGGGACTGTGCCCATGTGTGTCCCCCTCTCAACCTGCCCTTCTCCATCCCCTCCAGCGCTGCATCGACTGGAACAGGGATATCCTCAAGAGGGAGCTGGGATTGACAGAGGAGGACATCATCGACCTGCCCGCCCTCTTCAAGCTCGACAAGCAGGGCAAAGCTGTGCCGTACTTCCCCAACACGGTGAGGGGGTCCCCACTCCTCAGGTCCTCTCCAAAAACCAGCTTAGTCAGCCAGGATGAGTCCCCAGAGTTGTCCCAAAACAAATCAACTGTCTAGAAAAAGGAAATATCGCCATTCAGCAGGTCTAACATAACTTTGTGGCTTTGTGTTGCTTGCAGTGGGGTTTTAGGCAAAAACCCTCTCAAAGCAGTGAAATTGAGATAGTGAGGCGGGTTTTAATGATAAAAAAAGGGAAAATTATGTTGGATTTGGAATTCTGTGGGAGGGCAGCTGCAGAAATCGGTGTTGATGGGTTGAGGGCTGGGGCTGATGGAGGAGGGTGACCAACACCTTCCCTTGGGTGTCACCAACCCCAACGCCGCTGATCTCCCTCGGTGTCACCCCACAGGTCACCATGATCGTCCTGGCCAAGGAGTTGGGCATCCCCAAACCCTTCGGCCCCGTGACGGCAGGGGAATGTTGCCTGGAGCAGCGGATCCGCTCCCTCCTGGAGCCGCTGGGTCTGAGCTGCCGTTTCCTCGAGGAGGTGGCCTCCTACCACGGCAGCCTGGGCGAGGTCCGGTGCGGCACCAACGTCCAGCGACGGCCCTTCACCTTCAAATGGTGGCACTTCACGCCATAGCAAGACCCTCTTCTCCTCTTCCTCTTCCTCCTCTTCTTCCTCCTCCTTCTCTCTCCTCCCTCCTCCCCAGTGGCTTTTTCAGTGTGTGTTGCTTGTGATTCACTTAATAAATATATTTGCTGTGAGGAAAAAGTCATGAAAATACATAAGAATGGGCAGTGATTGTGCAAGAAAGGGAGGGAAGCCCTCAGAGGGGTGAGGGGGCAATTTTTTTGGAAGGGTAGAAGTTTTTGGAAGGTGATAGAATCACCATCCCTGGAGGTGTTCAAGGAACAACCATGTCACCAAAAATTGTGAAATAAACTCTCTAACCAGTTTGTTGGGTTGGAAAGTCAACATTAATCAACACTGAGGTACATGGAGATCACTCCACAAAACACGTACATCAGTTATCAAAACTTTTAACTATTTATAAATTCTAGCAAATTAAGGAATTGGTGTCCATTGGTTTACAAATTACATAGTCATCTTAATTAATTAGTATTCTATCTTCTATTTGTTGTTGATTTTTTGCTTCTCATGCTAATTTTCAGTCTTTTTATTATCTTTTTCCCATACAGGGAAAGTCTCAGTAATGGTCTTTGCTAGTTTCCTCTTCATATCTGGTTTCTGTGTCTTTGTGCTTTATAAATCCTACATATCTGGTTTCTGTGTCTTTGTGCTTTATAAATCCTACATTCCTGGTGTCCAAGTCTCAACAGTAAATTTCTCTCCTAGGTTTTGTTAACCTTTCTCCCCCAGGTCTGAGAACACCAAAGTACATCAAGCCTCAAACTTTTGTTTTTCTAACACACGGACATCACCCATTGCTTGCTTGTCATCCCTTATCTATTCCATGGATTAAATCTCTCAGCATTTCCCCCACTGCTGCATAAACTCCTTTTTAAAAAAAAACCTTGTTTGGTAACAATACTGAGACCTTTGCCTCCTCCTCTTGCTCTTCTTCACCCTCCTCGTCCTTGTTCTCTTCCTGCCTCCACCTTTGCCCCCAGCGGCTTTTTCAGCATGTGTTGGTCACAACTCACTTCAGAAATAAACTTGCTGTGAGGAAAAAGTCGTGAAATTCAATAGTAATGGGTAATAATCGTAAGAGAAAAGGAGGGAAGCCCTCAGAGAAGGGGGGGGGGCATTTTTTTGCAAGGGGCTGCACAGGGAGGTGGTGGAATCACCATCCCTGGAGGTGTTTAAGGGAAGACTGGACAGTGGCACTTATTGCCATGGTCTGGGTGACAAGGGGGGATCGGTCACAGGTTGGACTCGATGATCTGGGAGGGCTTTTCCAACCTCAATGGTTCTGTCACTCTTTAACCCCCCGCACCCGCCATTTTTCCCCGCTTGGTGTTGGGGCAGGTCCCCTCGTGTGAGGGGACGGTGTGGGCACCTCCGCGCAAACGCAGTGAGGCTGGGAATTACTGATGAAAAAACAAGGGGTCGTTTTTGTGGGATTCACACCAAAAACAAGGGGGGATTTAGGCGTCCTGGCCCCGCCACCCCGCTTTGTAACGCAAGGCGCGCCACACTCAACATGGCACCTGCCCTGAGGCCACCGCCGCACCCAAGATGGCGGAGGAAGCCCGCCTGCCCCTCAGCGCACAACATGGCGGCGCCGGGGTCACTTCCGGCGGGCTCGGAACTGCGCAGCGTCAAGATGGCGGCGGCCGCGCTCGGAGTCTCCTTGAGGCACCGCGTCCCCGCACGGCTCCTGCGGGCCGGGCCGCGGGCGGTGAGGGGGCTGGGGGGCTCGGGGAGGGTGCGGGGGGGCGCGGGGAGGAGGGACAGGGGGCAGAGGGACAGGGGGCAGAGGGGAGGCTGGAGGGAGTGTGGAGGGAGATGGGGGGCTGGAGGGGGTGTGTGGGATTTGGGATTGGGCATGAGGGGAAGGAGGTCAGGGGTGGGAGAGGGGGATGGAGGGAGGGGGCTGTGGGGCAGGACGGGGTCCGGGATGCGGGGTAAGACGGGAAGAGTGGGTGGGAGAAGGGCAGTGGGAAGAGGATCAGTGGCAGAGGGAGTTGGGGGGAATGTGTGGGAGCTGCGGATGGACAGGAGGGAAGGGGTGGGAGAAGGGGCTCTGGGCAGGGGCTGTGGGGCAGGACGGGGTCCGGGATGCGGTAAAAGAGGGAGGAGTCGGTGGGAGAAGGCGGGTGTGAAGAGGATCAGTGGCAGAGGGGTTGGGGGTTGTGTGGGAGTTGGAGGGGGTGTGTGGGATTTGGGAATGGGCAGGAGGGGAGGGATGGGAGAGGGGGCTGAGAGGGCTGGACGAGGTCTGGGATGCGGTAAAAGGTGGGAGAATGGGGTGAGCTGCGGGACAAGGGAATCAGTGGCAGAGGGGGCTCTGGGCAGGAGGGGGTCCAGGATGGGGTAAAAGTGGGAAGAGTGGGTGGGAAAAGGGGGGTGAGCTGAGGGGGAAGAGGATCGGTGAGGGGGATGCTGAGGAGGGTCTGGGGGCGAAGAGAAGCAGGAAGGGGTCTGGGAATGGTTTAGGGGGAGATAAAGGTTGACAGGAAATTGTGAGAGGGGGAAACACACCAGAAAGGGGTTGGGAAGAGGTGTGGGAACAGGAGGAATAGGGATGTGGGGTGATTTAGGAAGAGGTGAGATGGGAAGGTGGCCTGGAGGAGGAAGAAGCTCCCTGGGGGAATAGCGCGAGGAGGTGGTTTGTTGGCCCGGAGCTGGGTAGGGAGTATTTAGGAACTTCTGGAGGTAATTTGGGGGCAGGGAGAGCCTTCAGGGTTTGAAGGCCACGGTACCTGCAGGAACACCTGGGGGAGCCCCTTAATTTTGGGATTATCTCCAGTGCCCCATGGAGGAGGGAGCCCCAGGATAGGGGGGGTTGCATCACAGGTTGCACCACTCCCACAAATCCTTGTCAGGATGTTCCCAAACCTCTCCAAATCCCCAAATACGAAGCAGTGCTGCCTCCTGTCACCCTGTTCCCTGGCCCCAAGGCCCATGGAGGGAGCTGAGGGCAGTTTTCCCTGTGGATCCAGGAGTGCCGGGGAGCCCAGACGGCAGCGGCGGCAGCGCCGCGGCTCAAGAAATTCGCCATCTACAGATGGGACCCCGACAAAGCTGGGGACAAACCCCGCATGCAGACCTACGAGGTGGACCTCAACAAGTGAGTATTCCCTGCGGGAAGAGGTTCTCCAGGTACTAAAGGTGTCAGCAGCTCACTGAGCTCCAGGGAATGGTAAAGCTTGGTGTGGCCCCGAAGGTGCTGCTCAGTTGCTACAGAGCAGCTTGTCTTCAGCACAGAGGACACTGATGGCATGTCCTGATAAGAGAATAAATTTCAATGATTAATGAATAATAATTTTGTTATTGCAAATAATTTATTGGTAATATAATTAAAATGTTTTGAGTTTAATATATTTTAATATATGAAGATATAGTTCTATAAAATGTTATAATATAGATGTCTTTTAAATTATATAATGTATTTTATATTTCTATAAAATTATAGAATACATTACATACTTATATAATATATTTCTATAATATATTACATACTTATTACATATATTACATTACATACTTATTACATATTTTACATTACATACTTATAATTATATAATATATTTCTATAATATATTTCTATATATATAATATAATAGATCATATAATGTATATTTTAAAATAATACATCTTTTTAAATATAATTAATAAAAAATCCCTGATAATATAATCAGTTATATAACAAATTTTACTGTGGTTTTGTGGGGTTATTTGCCCCTCCCTCACCAGTGTGTGACAAATAAACTGTGCCCTGAGTGCCAGTGTCCCAGCAGGGAATGGTCACTTTGTTTTGGGACTTTTGTGAGGTTTTATCTGTGTCCCTGAGTTGTGCTGAAGACTTGAAGACTTCAGTAAACTTTACTTATGTGGAAAATTTTGGGGCTTCTAAAAAAGAGGGAGAGCGATTTTTTTATGTGGGCAGGTGGTACCAGAAGGGGATGTGGTTTGAAACTAAAGGGGAGAGATTTAGGTGGGATATTGGGAAGGAATTCCTGGCTGGGAGGGTGGGGAGGCCCTGACACAGGCTGCCCAGAGAAGCTGTGGCTGCCCCAGCCCTGGAGTGTCCAAGGCCAGGTTGGACGGGGCTTGGAGCAACCTGGGCTGGTGGAAGGTGTCCCTGCCCATGGCAGGGGGTGGCACTGGACGATCTTTAAGGTCCCTCCCAAGCCAAACCATCCTGGGATTCAGTGTTCCAAAAGGACACTCCATGTGTAACTCCCAGTCCCAGAGCTGGGAGAGAAGGTGGAAGTTTGTTTCCACTGAGTTGCCTCTAATTTTCAGGCCATATTAAGCTTGTAGGAGCCACCTGCACACTTTGGTGTGGGATCCCCAAGACAGCTCCTGCTTCCCTGGGATTCTGGGAAGGGGTTCAGATTCCCTGTGGTGCAGAAACCTTCTCCTGGACACATCCTGCATTTCCCTGAGCTCCAGCTGGTGCCGTGCTCCTGCCCCAGGAATTCACCCCGAGCCCTTTCCAGGAGTTCCACACACAAATTCCCCAGCCCCTACTTAAGAACCCCGTGACAGAGGACTCAGATTTCTGTGTGACTTGCACTGGTGGATAATTTCTGGGTGTTGCCCTGTCTGCTGGATAGAAAATTACAGAAGTTGTCCACGACTGTTTGGTTTTATGTGTCTCTTGTGACTAATGGGGACAGACTGACTTGTTAAAGCCTGACCCAAAAGCAAAGAGAACCAGTACAAGGCACTTGGGGTTGAGTTGTGCTGTCTGAACCTTCAGGGCATCGGCAGGAGAAAGGGTTTGACTCCCACCCTCATCAAGAAATGTCTGTTTTATTGCCTGGGATTGCCAAAAAATGTGTATTAATTGTAGCTGATCCAAAACCCTTTTAGGTGCTGCTTAGTTGGGGTGCCAGAAGTCCAGCCCTGAGTCTGGGTGGATTCTCCAGGTGAACTGACCCTGTTTTCTGCTTTAGGTGTGGGCCCATGGTGCTTGATGCTCTGATCAAGATTAAAAACGAGATGGACTCCACCCTGACCTTCCGTAGGTCCTGTAGGGAAGGTAAGAAGGATTTTCCTGGAATACTGGAATTCCTGCCTGGAATACTGTTTGTTGCTGACAGTGGACGTGTAGCTCTGGAAGACTCTCCCAGCTGTGTGTAAGAAACACTCAGTGAATGGAGCAGCAAAGGCAGAGCTCGTGCTCAGAGGCTGTAATCACCCAGCTCAGCTGGGTTTGCCTTCCACCAGCCCCAGTTGTTCCAGTTTCTCTCCTAATCTGGTTCATCCTGCTGCCCTCCAGTGCTGGGCTGCGTGGGCAAATCCAAGGAGAGATTCCAGCAGCCAGACTGAGGGGGCAGAGGTGGAATGGGAACGACTTGTAGGGGCTGTTTCAGCGCTGCTGTGGAAATAAGACAGGGTGTAACTGGAAGAGCACTTAGGACTTCTAGGAATAGCTTCAGGAATCTTTTTCTTGGCCCTTTGACTAAGCCCAGGGATTGATTGAGGAAAAGGGCAGCCAGTGGTTTTCTGTTGTGGCTGCTCCTCATGCAGGTACAAATCAGCAGGTCTGGAGCTGCAGTAAAACTTCCCTGTTGGGTGACTTTCCCTGTAAAAATCCTCCTCGTTCCGGGGTCACGTTGGGATGCTGAGTTGTGGAAAAGCAAGAAGGGAGGTTGTTGTGAAATGCATTCCTTTGTGGAACAGCTTTGGATTTAATGAGGTGGGTTTGCAAGGGGAAGAAGTTTAAGGCCAGTTGCTGCCTAAAGATGTTTGGACTTGGATGGAAATGAAAAGCTCCAACACAGCCATTTCCTCTGGAATCTGCATAGCAGGTGGAGGAATTCCATGGGGAATGCTTGTTCTCAGTGTCTGATATTTAGATAGCCAAAAGATTCCCAAGCTGGAATGCATTGCCCTGAATACTTTCCTTGGAGAAGACAGGTTTTCAAGCTAGGCTGGTTCAATCTTGCCCCTTTTCTGCCACGCAGGGCAAAAAACAGCCCAGCTCCCACATTCCTGCTGGGAACACGTGGTCCTGAGGCTGCAACCCTGGCTGGAAAATACTTGTCACCGTTTCTGCAGTGAGAGGAATGACCCTGGTGCAGTGCCAGGGGAGCCTGGCAGCAGGGCTGGCTGGCAGGGACGTTCCTGGCACTCAGCTCAGCTGGGATGGGGCAGATCCTCTGGAACTGGAGTTTTACCCTTGCAGCATTTGTCTCCTTCTCACATGAGGAGTATCTGGGACACTTCTGCAGTGGTTTTCTTGTCAAGCTTGGCTTTCCTGGGCTTCAGCTGATCCTTGTATTACTGGAGGTCGTTAGTGATGTCATTTAATCTATTTATCAGGCTGTTTTATGCTGCTAGCTCTGGGCAGTGTCTGTCCTCTCACCTTTGGCAGCACAGCTCGTGGCACTGCTCTGCACAGGCACCAAAACCCTCCTGTCTGAGGGATTTGGGTTTATAGTCCTGATTTGCAGGGATGCTTTGGACCATTTTTCTGCTCTCTGATGAGGAGAGACTGCGGGAGCTGAGCCTGATTAGTCCAGAGA